ATCGTTTTGTATCGATACAAAACGATTATTATTTACACCCCTAGTCTCTACAGGTACTCCAACGTCCTCTCACAGTCAAAAATAAAGCATGACTGAAGTTAATACATAGACTGCTGGAGATAGGCACAAACCCCACTGCAAACCTGACAGATTAAACTGGAGAAGTTAGATCGAGTTTTAGAGTGATAATAAAAGAAAAGCATTTTTATAGAGTTACTCGTATGGTCCTTTTTCATTTGTTTTTTTTAGATTCATGTTTAGCTGATATATCTTAAACTGGTCACTAAGTTTATTACTTGTTGCTATAAGTCGTGAACACCTGAAATATTTCAGCTCTCAACCTATCTGTTGTACAAACTTTGAGAAATGCTGTGGTGGCCATTTTTTTTTTTTTGTCTGATAAAACTGCCTTTAGTTTAAGTTGTTCAAAAGAAATACAGCGATAATAAAAACAATTCAACAGTTGTACTTACTGTTGGCTAAAAAAAATCAGAATGCAGCACAACTGAAGCTGGAAAGTGTAGAGACCTGCCATTTTTATTGGTTGCTGTTTGTAGCATAAATGCAGCTGGATAGCAGATATTAATGCAGAAAAGCTTCTTTCCTCATTAAGAGGAAGTTAATAGAAATTTTGAAAAGAGCCATAGATGGCCTGTACAGATGAAATAAACCACCAATAAATAACAACCATCATATTTATTGGTTCGATTGATGACTTTTAAAGTCAGCTCCTCCAGCTTTCTTTATGTGGTCTCGATCATCTTGTAGTTTGAGGCATTTCTCAGACGCTTCTTACCACTTAGAAGCATTATTTACCTGAAAAGACTATTTTCTGTTTCCCCGTAAGAAAGTATTGTTTTTTTCATAGAAACATTTTCTATAGATTTTAACCTTTATCTATTAATTGTCTTTGTCATAGCCTGCCTCAAAACTTTATTTTATACCAAGTTAATAATTTTTAGCAGTCGGGCTTGCTGTCAGAATACGGCAGGTCCCGTTTTGGACAAAAGTCTATAAACTTCTTTAAAACAAACCAGACTGAAACCTTTATTGGTATATTTTTCTAAAGAAGACATTCTGTGTTCCAACCAAAGAAATTATGCAACCTTAACTATCACCTGTTTTATTCACATTCAGGAACAGATGATTTTTCCACACCGTGACACAAAGCGGTCTACCAGCCTCCCGTAATCATGATGCTGATACATGATATTAAAATGTCTCCTACGTTATACAATGAGAGAAACTATGATGTGACGGATTAATTAACCTTAAATTTACAGTTTTTATGTAAAACATATCTAAAGGGAAACATGTTGACATTTTTATTTATAGATATATGAATAAAAAATTTAAACTTTTTCTGTTATGATCCTTATTTAGGATTTTTAAAAATAATTATTTAACATTGTAATTCGAAGAAATAAGCTAAAATGCGGAGGTCTCTTTCTCTGTTTTTTTTTTTTTAATATATTGTTTTTAGAATTGTAAAAAATAAAAAAATAAAAATAAGAATTAATATCTAAAAAAAAACTGTCTGCAAATAAGAAAACACGCTTTAAAGGCAAGAGTTGTGGTAAAACATGTAGCCTATTTAACATTTCCTAACAGATGAACAGGATTAACATCTGTTACTCAGTAAAATGACTGAAATATTACTATTTTTCTTACACAACACACTCACTTTTTGGTTACAGTTCAATATAATAACTCACCAAGAGCCAGAGTACTGCTGACAGTCCATATCAGCAAGGTAAAGCCTGCCATATCCAAGAGTGTCAACCGTCTGAACATTACATCTAATGAAAAATTCTACATGCAGAAGACTTAAAAAATGCTTTCATTCTATGATGTGGAACAGGAAAAGAAGAAAACCACACCGATAGAGCACTGGTGGTAATGATCTGTGCTGGTCTCACAGCTTGCTCTTGGTTTCCAGTTAAATGTTAATTTGTAAATCAGTGTGGCTTGTTCTGCACATGAAAAATAAAAGGCTAAAAAAAAAGTGAAGGGCTTTATTATAAAATATGTTTTTGGACCAAATAGTGTAGCTGAATCTCTAATAAGTTATAAGAAAACTTAATGTCTTAATGTTTATTGATGTATAATGTCTTTATTTAAATCCACATTGCCATAATGTGATGACAGAACTACAGTCAAGATTCATTGAAACCACAGAGGGAAAAAAACAAATTGTCGATGAAGAGCAGTGAGGAGAGAGATACATAGAAGGAGATCAAGTACTAGAAAAGGAAAATGCTGCACCTGAACTGTTTGCATTTTAAGTCAAACATTTATTGCATGATAATTGAAGTATTGCTTAAGATTAAAATAGAAATATGTTCAAAAGCTGGCTTTCCATAACAAGAGTGAACAGGTTAGGCACTATTTTCAACATAATAATATAATAAGGTCTGGGTGTCTATTTTACATACTGAAATAAATCTGAAGAACATTTGTGACACATTTCTAACCACTTAGACAGAAGATTCAAAATAAAGATGACATTAAAATCAAGTTTATAATGCCTGAAATATCTGGCAGGGAAAGAGGAACAGAGGAATGTACCGACTAGTTTATTCAAAAGTCACAATGATGCTGCTTTTGCTCCTTAAGATTCAGAATATGGACAGATTTAAATGATGGGGCAGTTTCTGGGAAGCACGCCGCTGAAACCACCTAGAAGTGACTGACTCTTGGCCTCAGTATTCTTTGGGTCCTGCGTATGGCCCTGGGTTTAAGTTCTCAGATATAACAACACATTAAATTGGGTCTTCATCTGCAGCTCCATCAGACCGCCATCAGTGATCACTTTGGTTGTAGCGGGGAGTTGGCATGTTAGCATAGGCTGTAACAAGGAACAGGAAAGATCTCATCACTGCAGGAATAAAGCAACATGCTTTATTTTTGGCTTTGTTCTGATATTAAAATTAACTCACTGTATTAATTCTAGATAATCTCAGTTTATACGTTATGTGGTGCTCTAACCAAGGCCTAACAGTAAGAATACAGTTTATTGTTATCCTCTTACTCCACTTGACTTACTTGCTGTCATGGCTAGCAGCCCTTCTTCATTAACAGCACTGTGGGGAAAAGCAATCAGGTCAGAGGATTATACAGTTTTGCTTTAAAGTTTATAAACCCTCCCATTAAAGAAAATGATAAATTCACACAGGTAATTCAAATAACATCAAACGAAAAAAAAATAAATAATAAATAAAAAAATACTACATGACAATTTGGTTGGAAAAAAAATCTATTCAATATCAGTATGATCATCCTTTTTAATACTTTTATTTATTAGTTTTGTCAATTTAATTTTATTTTACATGGCTTATGAATTTTTTCTGATTTTAATGGTAGGGTTTATGAACTGTAGCACATCTGTATGTAGATGAAAGTAATACAATAATAAATTCAACAAGCAGATTAGCTGAATATGTTTTACTGTCTGCTTTTTCTCCTCTTCCTGATGAAGAAAGCCATTCCACAGATGAGAAATGCCACTGCACAGATGAGGACGACCAAACAGCCAATAAGGGCTTTATCATTGTCTGTGTAAAATATAACAGAGAGGTTAAAGCAGACACATTAATGTACACGTTGTACAGAGTTAAGCTGTGTTTGGTGTTCAGCATCATTTAAGATTATTTTTTCTCTTTCAGTCAACACCCACAGAGAGTTTTAGCTTCTATTTCCACAGGCTCGCTACTAAGGTGTCCGTTGTCAGTTATCACCTTTAATGACAAAATGTTTATAATTAGGATCCACAGCATTCAGGAAAAAGTTACAGGGAAGCAATTAAAGTTTTTACCCATGAAACCTGCTCAGGTTTATACAAACCTTTATTCTGTAGGATGTTAAGTAGTTCAGATCTTCGAATTCAAATTCACAGCTTTTTTCATTTGTCTTTTGGTGGTGAGGGACCCCGACAAGCTTAGCAACGTATTTAGTTTTTGGTCCTCTAAATACAACAGAATCACATTTCACTACGATCTTATTGTTCTCTGGATAAGAAACGTCCAGGTTTTTAGTTTTATCAGGTACTGTTGGAGGAAGAGAAAGGACACATATTAGGAAACATAGATAAAATTATGTAAGCAAACCAAAACATGAAAAAGAGAATGTGTTAAGATTTGTAAGAACAGCAGCACAGAATGACAGAGCAGGTATGATTCTGGCACCTACGTCTAATTGTGCTGTAAATGTAGACTCCATCATCTAATAAACTGATTCATAAATCATTATTAGCAGTTTTCTAATTTTAATCAATTTTTTTTATTCAAAATTATTAACATACTGTAATTTGCTATATGCATGACTATAAAACCTAATGAAAGAATTAGGATTTTTCAAAACAACAATAATTAAACCCTTAGCAAACTCAAAATGTTTAAAAATAATAGCTTCCTTATGAGTGATTTATTATGTCCCACAGAATCTAAAAACTACATGTATTATTTAGATTTTTAAAGAATGGTTGGATTTCCTAGGAAAAAACATGGATGTACTTCCGGTCAATCGCAACATGACATACAAATGAATATCAAAGTTTTACTAAGTCATTTTAAAGCTGTGAGTATTTAAAAAACTGCATTAATATTTCACAACATATATTGATAAGTTACTCACTTCCAGGCTCAGTCTTGCCATGAACTACTTCGTCCTTGAAAACCTTGAAAGGATTGTTGTAGATCGGACGGACCTTACAACTGTAATCCGTGTATGGTTGAAGTCCTCCAATGTTACACATTTCTTCAAGTTTTTTTTTCTTTCTTACTTCAGCTGCATTTAAATACAGTAGCTTGTTATGAAATATTGTTATAATAATTTCAATGATACATTAAAGTTGAATAAATGCTGAAGAAGAATTTGGTCTGTTTGTCAAATTAAACATGTAGTGAATAAAACTTTTCCATTAAAGTCATCCACAGGTCACTGCTGCTTGAACACATTGATAGTTATGAATCAGAGCTTTACAAATCATATCTGGTTATTACATTGGTCTTAATCTCCAAATGTATTTTGTGTAACAGAGATAAAACTGATAGATAGAAGAGTTTTCCATATTTCTGTTAGGATTCCAGTTTGTGGGGGTTGTTTTTTGTTATTTTTCAGTGTCTCCGTGCATCCACCAGATGGTGCCATTGTTCCTCTGTTGGCCTGGAGCGCCTCTTCTTGCTCTCAACTACTCACACCTGCAGATCGTTCTTCATCAACGTCTGAGGAGTATATGAGCAGCAGACTGTCACCATCTCCACTAGAGTGTTTGCAAGTATTGGGTACTCTAGCCCCTTTGAGTTTTGCTGAGCTCTCAAGTGCTAACCAAGTTTCTCTCTTGTGAATCTCTGGCAGGATTTCTACAGATCCACTGGATAAGCCTGGTCCTTCTAGCCTTGGAAGGAACCCTCTCGTCACGCTGAGAAAAAGGAAACAATTCATCTTATCAGACCGCTGTCCACTTCAGGAAAACAAGTGACAGTCTGCTCCACTGCTCCTCTGGACCACCACAGTCTGCCTGTCTGCCCTCCAGCAAATATCGGCCTATTTTCCCACGGACCTTGAACTCACCACTCTGATCTCTTCCTAGAGATTCCGCTTCCAGTTCACCAGACCGCTGGATTTTCCCAGCTGATAAACCAGTTGTTTTTGTCTAAGCTCAAGTGTTTTTTTCAATAAACTGTTAATGTAGCGACTCCTTAGCAATCCTTGTTGCCTGAGAGGTGGAAATAGAGTCCTGTATGCGTATGACGCGCTGCCGTCTTTGATCAAAAATGCACACGGAATCCAGGAATAAGCTTTGGTGTTTTAATCCTGTCCAGAGGCTCATGTAGTCACTCACAACAGATTGGAACGTACATGATGTGACATACTGATTTAGATTATAAAGCAAACGGTCAA